TTGACTTAAGAGTCCATCATGGTGAAGTAAAGAAATTTTATGCCATAAAAATGTAAAGGGCAATACTATGCAGTTCATTAATTAGTTTTAGTTGCAATTTTTAAAGTGCTAGCAAGATCAAATTTAGAATTTTTATTAATATAGAAAATGTATCATTAATTAATTAGGGCTTGAATGAATAAATGAAGAAAAAATATATGGATCAAGGATACTTACTTAACGTCCGCTTAGATTAATCCAATAAAAGATTTAGGTCTCATCAATCTGGCTTTTTATTTAATAAGTTTTTCTTCGATAGAATCAGGCAACTTAATTTTATTTTGTCCTTTCTCTATTGAAAAAATATTGATTATGAATGAAATTTAAATGACTCGGATACAATAAAATTATAACTCGGAATAAAATTATCCTGATTAACAAATTATTAAAAAAAAATTGCTTTGTTGCGTACCATGAAATTTTCTCTCTTACCCCTTAATGTTAATTGCAAGTTTTTTTAATTTAGAAAAATACTTAACTGGATGGATGGAAAAAAATTGGCGGGTTAGAACCTGAAAAAATTGGTTTTTATTTTTTGTATATGTTTGTTCTTTGTGTGCTAAACACGAATCCGTACTTTGCCACCTAAATTTTTTCCGGGATATAGGTTATTTGCCAGGAAAATTCCAGATTTTTGCATATAACTTTTTTTTTAAATTCAAGATCGAAAATTTCTAATCGCATATTTGAAAACAAAAGAAAATTTTCAACAAAAATTCTGAACCTAATTAATAGAGGTTTGAAATAAATTAAAATTTCTCTTATGGGATCTAGTAATGTATGAAAAAAATATTTCTACCCCATCAAGAACTCTTCCGTCCCCCCAATAACCATCATTTTTCTTAAACATTTCCCAAAATAATAAAGGTATTTTTAATTTTTGATTCTTGGCTTATCTTCTTAAATTTTTATGCTCAATTTGGACTTCATACTTCACTTCTCAGAGTTTCCCCTGCATATTACAGCGTTGATACATAACAATATTACTCATATTATAATATTGATATAAATCAATATTACTCATACTATAATATTGATACCCCCTCATACATATCCCAGCTCCTTAGAAGAAAGTTTACCTCTGGTTCCCCACTTTTTGAATGACCATACTTTTCTTAAAACGACCATTTTTGCTCTTTCTATTTTAACTATATGCAAATAAAGCTTAGAGTGTAAGTTTTTCCCCATATTTTATAAGTACAGCATTTCCGAAACAGTTCGTTGTGTGTCAAGAGGCTATTGAAGTTTAAGCTCCACAATTTTGTGACCAACGGCATGATTGAAGCAAAGTGGTCAGCACTGTCCCAGGCAGTCCTTTACTTCCCAGACAAGATGATACCTATCGATCTGAACCTGAGTAGACTTCAAGCCGCCACTGGGGATCGAACCCCATTTGTTCATCATAACTGTCCAGTGCCTTAACCACTGAGCCATTTTATATTAGTACTTACTATAAAACAAAAATAGTCTCCTCCAGGAGTGCCTTATTCCTTAAAAGTTTTAAGGATATTTCTTATATAATATTTAATAGTATTTTTTCAAAAATTTTTTTTAGCTATAAGAATGTAGAATATGACTTTTTATGACACCGATTAGTTTATTCTTGTACTAAAATTATAATCGGACCTCTATTTAACGAAGTCGCTAAATCTACATAATAAGTTCGTTGTATGGAAAATTCGTTAAATAGAAAATCACCTTTTAAAATAGTTAAAAAAGACAAAACAGGTTTTAAATTCATAAACACTAGACATAATTAAAATAGCAATTGATACACCGTTATCTTGTAAACTAGTATCTACTATTTATTTTATAAATCTTAACCATAAAAGAAACCTGCATGGAAAGCAAGAATAGAGGAAAACATTATCCAGTTTTACACTAATATCATGCTACATACATTTTCAACTAAAAAAGCTAAATTTATGTATAAAGTTATAGTTGCATTTATTATAAAAGTAATTTTAAACATACTACATGCGTTCCATATACACTACCTCATGCGTTTTTAAATTTGATTTCTGCTGATAAAATCCGTTAATTTTGTCTGACTTTTTCGTTGGAAATGCAAACAAAAAGGTGAAGGGATTTTACTGCTTTCTCCAAAACTTAGGTGGCTTCGAAAATCATTTCAAGGTCAGTTCCCCCATAAAATGCGTTAACAAGTTTGAAATGTTCTGAAATATTTCGGGAAGTAGGGAGAGTGGATCTCAAAGAAAAGTTCGTTAAATAGAAAATTCACTTCGCTATTTAGAAGTTATTTTAATAAAAAATTTCCAAAATGTTTATGGTTCCTCGAAAAAAATCGCAAAATAGAGAAATTCGAAAAATGGAAATTCGTTAAATAGAAGTCCGATATTCAATTATAAATATTTTTGGAAAGTAATTATTTTCGGTAACATTATAATAAAAATGTATATCTAAACTATATAAATATAAAAACGCTACTCTCTCCACCGTAAATATTAATATATAATCTTAAACCTTATAAATAACCTAAAAATTTAAGCATTGGGTAGTATTCTAAGTCTTAAAAGTCATTCATCATTTGCACGTGTATAAATTTGTCGAAGTGTTCGTAAGAAGACTTTCTCAACAAATAAAGATTTATTTCATTTGACATTCTCTAATACGATTTACGCTGTGTGTAGACCAAACTATGCCGAATTAAGTTTAAGACCAATCGAAGAAGAACATCCGAGAAATAAATTGATGATATCAAATGACCTTGTCAGATGCTTTGCTTAAAGCATATTTCTTGATTATTCACTTAATACAAATCGAAAAATCCTTGGTTGTTACGCTTTTTTTTTCTTTCTTTTATCTTGCTGCAGTTGAAAGGCAGTTAGTTATACTATCGACGTCATTCAATATTAAATATGTCCAAAAAAGATTCATTTAAATCTCAATTGGTTTATAATAACTAAACGGGATAATTAATAAGTTTATCAGATTTTATAAATAAAGCTAAAACGGATCATAATTTCGTTTTTTTTTAATGGACTTAAACCATAAAATAGTCACGTAGGAATTGTACAAGGTGTACCATAGTCGCTGCTTCAAAATATATTTTTAAAATACTGCTGGTTTAAAAAGAAATCTAAAATGTATATTCTTGAGAGTCGTAAATTATTGTTTGAGCAATAATTTTAAAATGATATCGAAATCTAACGAATCATTATTTTTAATGGTGCAACCAAAAACACCAAAACCTTATACACAATTTATACACAAAACACCAAAGTTCTGTCCCGCTTTTTTTTTATTCTTTAGATTTCTTTATCATTTTACTTCTTTCGAGCTTCGATATTAATTATTGATAGCTTTATTTTAGCTTGGGGTTCTAAAAATGTATATTAAGGACGATTATTACAAATCACGTGAAGTAAAACATTCGGTAAATTACCTCCTTTGCCTTGCTGGCAAACTCCATTAAGCAATATTTGTCTTCCTTGAAATTAAAAAAAAATTTGCTTTTAAGCTTGATAGAACGTTAACTTGTTGATTGTTCACACAGCTTTTTATTTATTTTATTTTTTTAAAAAGTGAAGAATTGCATATGATCTTTATAAACCGCAACTTAGTATTACTGCTCCCTCGCATTTAATGGCACTAATTTAAATACCTAATTGTTAGAAAATTAACACTTTTCCCTGTCCTAACGACATTAACAGCTTTTCAGAACAACTGTTGATTTTGAATTAGTTCCGAAAACGAATGGTCGTTATAGTACTGGAAAATATTAAACAACTCCAGCAACTATAAACGTTTGATGTAGCTTTATGGCGCTAAATGAACGGAGGACCAGATATCAGTTTGATTCTTTAGAAAATCAGTTGAAGTTGAATTTAATATATATCAATATGGTGAATTCTCTAATTGTAAATTTTTTTACCGCATGCTTAACAATAAAAAAATATGAAAATTTAAAATAAGAAACCTTTGCTATCCGTCCCACGAACTATTTTTACTTAACGAAAACCTCAACATAATAATTTATTTATTTTATTACAACAAATATTTAAAGTTGATAAAATTAAATTACATATAATTTATACTTATTCCTGTTTTTATTACACGACTAAAATTTTATTCTATTATATTTTTAAAAAAAATATATCGGAATAGAAGTTTATTTGATTTTTTATGCCTTACAATTTTTATTATTCCATAAAAATATTAATTGTATTACATTTAATATTTAAAAAAAATTCTACATTTTTTTTTTAAAAACAAAGAAGAAATTTTAGAATTATAGCATAATTTTTACATTTCCATTTTCGTCACACTTTGAATATTTTATTTCATTAAATTTAAACAACGCAATTTATTTATAATTTTCATTAAATATTGGAAAAAATCTCAGCAACAGCAAAAAGCAATAATTCTTATTTCCTATTTTCCGATGATACGTAACCAATTTGTAATTCATTTTATTTAATTAAATTTAAACAACGCAATTTATTTATAATTTTCACTAAATAATGGAAAAAATCTCAGCCACAACAAAAAGCAATAATTCTTATTTCCTATCTTCCGATGATACGTAACCAATTTGTAATTCATTTTATTTCATCAGATTAAAACAACGCAATTTATTTATAATTTTCACTAAATATTGGAAAAAATCTCAGCCACAACAAAAAGCAATAATTCTTACTTCCGATGATACGTAATCAATTTGTAATTCATTTTATTTCATTGAATTTAAACAACGCAATTTATTTATAATTTTCACTAAATATTAGAAAAAACTCAGTCACAACAAAATAATTCTTATTTCTTATCTTCCGATGATACGTAATCAATTTGTAATTCAAATGAGACCATAACTTGACGTTTTGTGACAATCATGAAGTCTGCACCTCATCTTATACAAATAAACGACATACACACCTCCAAAACAAAGAAAATAACATCATAAAATCCATCTGATGTTATTCAAATTATTAACACCTGTCAATCCGGCTTAAATTTTTCTCCAGCAGTTTCGCGGGTAAGGTCAAGGAAATTAACTGTAGTTAAAATGATGCAACAGTTGTTGACGTTGGGTCAGTGAGAACATTGTATAAAAGCGCAGACAGGTTGGATGAGAAACCGAAAGTAAGAGTTTTCGTTCAGATATTTACATTCCAAAATGCCGGGTGATACTTGCCAGCCGATAGAACGGCCTGATAAAGATGCTCATTGGTGGTGGAAAGAGCCCGCTTATTCTCCGAATCAGGTAAATACTTATTGGCTTATTAAATATTTTAACGGTTTAAAATAATTGCATTGTTTTAAAAAAAATTGAAGAACTTATTAAGTTTTAAAACATTTTAACGATTTTAGAAGAATTGCATTGTTAAAAAAAAGAACTTATTAAAATCTAAAACATTTTAACGATTTTAGAAGAATTGCATTGTTAAAAAAAAGAAAAAATAACTTATTAAAATCTAAAACATTTTTTAACGATTTTAGAAGAATTACATTGTTAAAAGAATAACTTAGTGAGTTTTAAAACATTTTAACGGTTTTAGAATAAATTCATTGTTAAAAGAAATGAATTCCCCTATTTTCGGTATTTTGACATTAAGTTTCTTTACTCTGAAACGAAGACAAGTCAAATGAAAAAAAAAAAGTGTTACATTTAAGTTTGAGATATAAATCAAAATTAAGAAATTTTGCTAGCGGTCAGTGGCAAGTTATAACAATCTTCAACAGTGACCACTATGTCAAAAATTAAAAATTTTAAGCGATTAAAAAAACTGTTGATTTTAATAATAAAAGGCATTTTTTTAAAAAACATTTCTCAAAATATGGTAAACATTACAGGGTTCATTTCAGAAATTAAGAAATAATTTAAGAAACATTTTCTGAACTAGGTTAAGAATATTTTCAGAATATTATAAAATTTTCTTAATAGTTTTATACTTATTAAAAAAAATAATAATAAGATGTACATTATAAGTGCAATTTGATCTGAAGCAGCTGGCGACCATTAATTTTGTCCTTTAATTTGAGTGCGTAAATAGTTGGTGGTTTTAGCTGTCACATTAATAATTCGCGAAAAGAAGAATTTCACCTCCAATTAGAAATTGCAAAAGAATACTTCAATCAAATGGAAGCGAGTATAACCAGCGTTAATGCTATTTATTGTATAGAACTTAAATAAAATATAAAGTACGAAAAATAGAAAAAAATTATTTTCTTTTTTTATTCAACTAATTTTTTCTCTTCACTTATAAACCAAAATTCTTCTTCTAAATATTCTCGCCTTATATTTGATTACCTAAGTCTTTATAGTTTTATAAATGCCTCCTTTTTTCGAAAATAATTTTTTTAAAACTTTATTTAAATTAGAGAGCATTGTTCTAAAATTAGTATTATTAGTATGCATTATTCGTTTGAAAATCTTGTTGATAAGTGAGATATGTCTTTTTAAATTGAAGCGCATATGGATGATTATAAGTTTTCGCTCACTTTAAATAACATTTTCTAAAAAAATAATTTTTGAGATAACTTTATTTTTTTCCGGTTAACAAAAATTTAATAGTAATGTAATGCATTCACGCAACTACCCGTTTTGGGTCAGGTGTCATCAAGGATGTTAAAGCTCCATAATTTCATGACCAACGGTAGAACTATGGCAATGTGTTCAGCTTTGTGCACAAGCTGTCTATACTGCCGTTAACAGAAAAATTAACGTTAGCAACAAAGAATTAAAAATTGAGATTTTTAAATATTTGGCATCTTAGTATGATAACTACAAATCGCATAAAAAAATATTTCAAAAATAAATTTTGCTTTTTCTGAAATTCTATTTTAGCGTTAATAGCATTCGCAATAGAAAGAACATAGTTGTCAAGCCATTTTTCTCGAAATATATGGTGAAGGTCTTACTTAACATTTTTCAATTACATGGCAGTATACTTTCCGGATAAGCTGTTCCCCATCGATCTGAAGCTAGATGAGCTTCAAGCCGGAAATCGAACACGAGTCCTTCCATTAATAGTTCAGTGCCTTACCACGTAGCTCATTGAGCAAATGACTTTTTTTTATTGCTCACATAGAAACAGAACATTTCATACAGAATTATATTCTTATTATAGATTTAATTTCTTTTTTGTGTGGAAAAAAAGCTTTAAGGGACTGAAATAAATAAAAATTATAAAATAAAACACTACGTAACTCAAATGTTTATCAGTGTCAAATATTTTTGAGCAAAATGGATCTAAATATCTTTAAAAAAAGGTACTGTTTTGAGTTTACAGATGCATACTTATTTTTCAAATTTTCCATAACGTGATGCATTCGTAAGTAAAAAAAATCCTCTCAATTTAATTTTTTTCACTACATAATTGTAATTTTCGTTGCAGGTAGGATTTTTAATAATATATTTATTAATAGAATGATTTTTAAAAAAATTATAAAATGACATATATTAAATTGCATTTTCGTGGATTAATCAAGACCAGCCAATCTAATTAAAAAATGCCTCCACGCAACAAAAATATTTATTGTGATGAACATTTGAAGTAAATCAGTTGAAAATTCTAGGTACTAGTTAGAGATACTATAAGTACGGGAAAAACAGTTTCAAGTAAACTGAGTATAAAGTTTTGTGATCATTAATCAGTGTGAATATATATATAAATTTTGCAACTAACTATATTGCATCAACACCAAGATCCATAAGAAAGATGCTTTTTCTCCATCATTTTCTGCAATTTCAAATGCAAGCCCGTTCTCTTGTTAATCTACCCATATATGTTTTTACAGTAGCAACCGAAGTTCTGGAGTCATCTTCATTTTGAGCACATTCTCTGGCTGCTGGGTCTAAATTTATTTCTTATTTTTGCAAAACTGTCAATAGCCTTCATTAGAAATTATTGCAGCTAAAAAAGTTGCAATTTCATCTGTTTATATTGAAAGTGCCATTAGTTATTTTTAATACTTAATTTAAATAAAATAGTTAAAATGATAGTATTTCACTAAAATGTTTTGAGAAGAGTGAGCAAATACATTTAATCAACTGAGAACGCAAAATTTACTTCTTCGCACACGTCAGACACGCTTGACATATATTATGTTGTAACTTGTGAATTTTTACGAAAATCAGTTCAATGTTTTGGTATAATTATCTTAAAAGGTGCAAAATTTTAATAAAGAATTAAAAAAATGCTATTTTTTAGTGTTGTTTCCCCTTAAGCTTAAAGATAACGTCAGAAGAGGGCTCTTTAATGGACGGGTCGGGCGTAAACGCATATTTTCCCTTGATTTGTCTTAGGTCCCTTATCAATTTCTAAGAAGCAATTTTGAAATGGTTTTAATTTTAAATTGGCTTCGTGCAACAAAATATGTGAACTCATCGTTATTTGGTCCTTACATTAACGCTAAACCACCATTTTTTAAAAAGAAATTTCAGCTAATCCTGTTACATGAATCATTGCGCTTGGTGCAAGCACAAAATTATAAACAAAACATCTTACGAGATGGAATCTCTTGAGTGACAGAAACATTTTGAGTAATGGAGAAACGAAACTACAATAAAATCTAATCAAGAATTCCCATAATGTTTACCTTATTTGCAATCGTATGAGCAAGACACGTGGATAAGTATCGTGATAAAAAAAAAAACCTTAGCTGTTTCGATTTTCTTCAATAATAAAAAATAAGGAGAAAAGAAAACATTTTAAAAAAGAATCATTTATTTGTTCCGCGTCACGTTTTGGTCAGTCTTATCACTAACGTGTTTCATAAGAATCGTAAGATAAGTGTTATCTTTTAAGTATATCCATCATTTATGTATCGCAGATTACTCGTATTATTCAACAACTGATTTCATAACCTAGTTCCTCGTGTGGTCAAATCTAATTCTTACGCCATTAACTCCTTACTAACAAATCAGCAATTGATTAAATTTTGTAATTCGATAACTGATAAATCTTTCAATTTTTAGATATTTCTGAAGATATTATTAAAAATTTTTATTAAATGAATGGAGAGACATATTTCAGAAATACTCCTTCTCATTTAGACGAGATGATGTGCTCGCATCTCGAATGCAATTAAAAATAGATTCTTGCTCGTTAAGTTATAAGCCCTTTTTCATATTTTTATGGGGGAGAATTTTTTTGATTAAGAAGCCTTCAAACCATTTCTAGCTAACAATTCCATCCGATCAGACGATTTACGATACCATGACGTCAGAACTAATGAAACAGCAGCTTTAGGCGATGATATAATTCAAACTTCTTTCGTATTCTTAAATACCAGGTAGTCCACCCTTGTTCACTACAATCCTTCACAAAAAACTCCACCTGAATCAGTCAACTCCGATATTGTTCCAAAAATATCGTCTGCCTTTTTTAATCTATTCCGTTGTACTGCATTTTATTATTGCTTAAGGCGGTCCTAAAGTGGATTCTAGCCTCAAACTTGAAAACTAGATGGCGCTGAAAATCACACCCCGCCTCAGGCTAAGATCTAGTTTAGCCTTTCCCAAAAAGATTCTAACTCATAGTTGATTGGCTACCTCAAAAAGAGCTATTCTACCTTTTAACAGTTTCTAGATGTAAATAAATCAATGTATCGCAATGATGTATATTGATGTAAATATGTAAAGAACGACTTCTAGTATCGTAAAACAAATAATCTTAGATTAATAAATGAAATGAATTTAACTGGAGAATTTAATTTACACTTAAGTTTAAAATGATTTTTAATAAAATATGAGCTGAAACACCATAAATTATTAGTAATTATTTATTCATGTTTGCATGAACCAGTTTGTTATTCTAAAACATTATCCTAAAACAACAATTTTTTATGCTTTATTCGACAACAAATATTCAGTTTGAAAAATGCGAGGAAGTTATCTAATATTTGCAATTTTATGTGCTTAAGAAATTAAATACATCGGAAATATGTTTCTTTCCTTTGAAATAACTTCAATGTTTTTCATAAGTGAACATTCACACTTGAATATATGTTTAAATTGATTGCTGANAGCGTATAAATATTAGTAAAACTAACTAGCAGATAATTTTATTTTGAGACATTTGCCAGAAATTTCAACAGAGTATGTAGATTAAATTATTCTTATGTCTCTAAGTTTTAACATAAGAAATACGATGTTTTAACACCTTTGCATCTAGATTTCCAACGATTTTTCTTTGGTTCAACTTTCAAGTTTATTTCGAATTTAAATGTGAAGAAACAACATAAATGAAAGCTACGTGA